GTTTATTAGGCTACAGATGAAATAAGTTATGATGAACTTCACAGGGTGGTGAAAGTGCAAGGTGATGAGCTTGATGCTCCTTTCCAATAAATATCAAGGGTCTTATTCTGGTGACATGATGATCGATGCTTGACTGCCGTTTGACAAATACTAATATTCTCGCTCTTATCCATAATAATCTCATCATGTAGACTAACCTACCCGCAGAGCCTACCCACACTGTCTCCACGCGCTGTTGGCTAGAGCGCAGCTGCCAAGACCAGAGTTTAGCACATTTGCTATTTAACACAACAGTTTGTGACAAAACTGTCGGTAGAGTTGACAATGCGATGGAAACACATTGAACATTAGATTTTTATTTGGTACGTGAAAACTTAAGCGAAAAAAGGTACATTCCGTGTACACTACGTCATCACGCACTGGTTTTTATGCGCAACAAGTCCGTTTGGTGGAAACACCACTGCTGGAAAAATGAGCATATTTTTCTTTATGCAGATGTTTGAATATTTGCATGAAAATCTGTCGCCAATTGGATGGAAACCTAGCTAGGGCCACATATTATTTAATTTAATTTAAGACAAAGCCTTTTCATTGTTAAAATGTATATTATTTGAGCTCATCTTTATATTATTAGCTATCATATATTCCAATACTCTCTTTCTTACATAGCATATATTGAATTAGAGAAAATATGGTGTAGGCCTATACCAGAGTTATAAGGGGATACTTGCTGTGTAACAATACATTATCCTCTCCTATTGTGTCCTATCTTCGTTGTGGCTCTGCTATCTACCCTTTCCCTCTCTTCAGTCCTCCCTCCTCTACTCTGTCGATCCACAATCTACCGTTTCCTTCCTCTCCCCTTCCCCAACTCTCCTTTTTTTTTACAATCCCACACCTGCGTCCAACGCCCAAATCCTATCCCCCTGTCCTCAATGTGCTTCTAACACTGTTGCTATGTCACAGTGGTTCCTAAATTACAGGCTTGTCACCATGTTTTATTGTGACAAAGAACTTGGGAGATCAGGGTTGGCGTCTGCAGAGCGACTGGAATGTTTCTCCCTCTGTCTTCCATCCTCTTTGTATCCCACGCTCTACGAACCCTGTGCTGGTTCTAGTAACTATGGTGATTGATGTGTAGCCAGGCTAGCACAGTGCAGCTCGGCTCAGCTTGGTTTCTGCTCTCATTGGATCGACGTCACTAGTATGCTCCCTCCCACATCGGGAACAGCTGGGAAGTATGTTTGTCCTACTAGAACATTCCATTCAGAGTCCTCTGACACAATGTCCCACAGAGGAATTAATAGGAATTCCAAACGCTGTTTACTGTAGTGGTAGGGGCTGAATAGAAAGGTCAGGGACACACAGTGAGCCTGCTGCCACTGTTCGTATACACTACCCAGTCAAAAGTTTGGACGCACCTACTCATTCAAGGGTTTTTCTTTATCTTTACTATTTTTTACATTGTAGAATAATAGTGAAGACATCAAAACTATGAAATAACACATATGGAATCATGTAGTAACCAAAAAAGTGTTAAACAAATCAAAGTATATTATATATTTGAGATTCTTCAAATAAACACCCTTTGCCTTGATGACAGCTTTTCACACTGTTGGCATTCTCTCAACCAGATTCATGAGGTAGTTACCTGGAATGCATTTCAATTAACAGGTGTGCCATGTTAAAAGTTAATTTGTGGAATTTCTTTCCTTCTTAATGCGTTTGAGCCAATTAGTTGTGTTGTGACAAGGTAGGGGGAGTATACAGACGATAGCCCTATTTGGTAAAAGACCAAGTCTATATTATGGCAAGAACAGCTCAAATAAGCAAAGAGAAACGACAGTCCATCATTACTTTAAGACATGAAGGTCAGTCAATCCGGAACATTTCAAGAACTTTGAAAGTTTCTTCAAGTGCAGTTGCAAAATCCATCAAGCGCTATGATGAAACTGGGTCTCATGAGGACTGCCACAGGAATGGAAGACCCAGAGTTACCTCTGCTGCAGAGGATAAGTTAATCAGATTTACCAGCCTCAGAAATTGCAGCCCAAATAAATGCTTCACAGAGTTCAAGTCACAGACACATCTCAACATCAACTGTTCAGAGGGGACTGTGTGAATCAGGCCTTCATGGTTGAATTGCTGCAAAGAAACCACTACTAAAGGACACCAATAAGAAGAAGAGACCTGCTTGGGCCAAGAAACACGAGCAATGGACATTAGACCGTTGGAAATGTGTCCTTTGGACTGGAGTCCATATGTGCTATTTCATAGTTTTGATGTCTTCACTATTATTCTACAATGTAAAACATAGTAAAAAATAAAGAAAAACCCTATAACACTATACACCTATAACACTATAACCCTATCACACTATAACACTATAACCCTATAACCCTATAACCCTATAACACTATAACCCTATAACCCTATAACACTATAACCCTATAACCCTATAACACTATAACCCTATAACCCTATAACACTATAACACTATAACACTATAACCCTATAACCCTATAACCCTATAACCCTATAACACTATAACACTATAACACTATAACCCTATAACCCTATAACACTATAACCCTATAACCCTATAACACTATAACCCTATAACACTCTAACCCTATAACACTATAACACCATAACCCTATAATACTATAACACTATAACCCATAACCCTATAACCTATAAACCCTATAACCCTATAACCCTATAACCCTATAACCTACCTATAACCTATAACCCTATAACCCTATAAACCCTATAACCCTATAACCTATAACCCTATAACACCTATAACCCTATAACCCTATAACCCTATAACCCTATAACACTATAACCCTATAACACTATAAACCAACCCTATAACCTATAACCCTATACACTATACACATACCTATAACCCTATAACCAACCTATAACACTATAACCTACCTATAACACTATAACCCTATAACCTACCCTATAACCTATAACCCTATAACACTATAACACTATAACCCTATAACCCTATAACCCTATAACACTATAACCCTATAACACTATAACCCTATAACCCTATAACACTATAACACTATGACACTATAACCCTATAACACTATAACCCTATAACACTATAACACTATAACCCTATAACACTATAACACTATAACCCTATAACCCTATAACACTATAACCCTATAACACTATAACCCTATAACCCTATAACCCTATAACCCTATGACCCTATGACACTATGACACTATAACACTATAACCCTATAACCCTATAACCCTATAACACTATAACCCTATAACACTATAACCCTATAACACTATAACCCTATAACCCTATAACCCTATAACCCTATAACACTATAACACATATAACCCTATAACCCTATAACACTATAACCCTATCACCTATAACACTATAACACTATAACCCTATAACCCTATAACACTATAACACTATAACACTATAACACTATAACCCTATCACACTATAACCCTATAACACTATAACACTATAACCCTATAAGACTATAACCCTATAACCCTATAACCCTATAACACTATAACCCTATAACACTATAACTCTATAACACTATAACCCTATAACACTATAACACTATAACACTATAACCCTATAACACTATAACCCTATCACACTATAACCCTATAACCCTATAACCCTATAACCCTATAACACTATAACACTATAACCCTATAACACTATAACCCTATAACACTATAACCCTATAACCCTATAACCCTATAACACTATAACCCTATAACACTATAACACTATAACCCTATAACCCTATAACCCTATAACCCTATAATACTATAACACTATAACCCTATAACCCTATAACACTATAACCCTATAACCCTATAACCCTATAACACTATAACCCTATAACCCTATAACACTATAACCCTATAACACTATAACCCTATAACACTATAACCCTATAACACTATAACACTATAACACTCTAACCCTACAACTAATTTCCATTCAAAATCCTATTTTCCCTAACCCCTAACCTAACCCTAACCTTAACCCTAACCCAAACCCTAACCATAACCATAACCCTAATCCTTACCATAACAATAAACCTAACCCCTAAGTTTAAAATAGCCTTTGTCCTCATGGGGACGTGGGAAATGTCCCCACGAGGGAGAATTGTCCTTGTTTTAGTATCCATGTGGGGAGGATAGAAAAACCCACAGACACACACACAGACACAGACACACACAGACACAGACACACACACACACACAGAAACAGACACACACACACACAGACACACACACACACACACAGACACACACACACAGACACACACACACACAGACACACACACAGACAGACACACACACAGACACAGACACAGACACACACACACACAGACACACACACACACAGACACACACAGACAGACACACACACACAGACACACACACACACACACACACACACACACACACACACACACAGACACACACACAGACACACACACAGACAGACACACACACAGACACAGACACAGACACACAGACCACACACACAGACACACACAGACAGACACACACCACCAGACACACACACACACACACACACACACACACAGACGCACACACACACAGACAGACACACACACAGACACAGACACACACACACACACAGACACACACACAGACACAGACACACAGACACACACACATAGACACATACACACACAGACACACACACACACACAGATTTCAGTTTTGCTGCACACAGCAACCAACAGTTGCATGCCATGTCATCGACTGCACAATCGTCATCATATTGCTATGTCATATGATGTGGTTAGCTGATATTTGATCAAACACCTATCCAGGCGTTGTGAGATCTGGCAGGCGACTGCGTTGTAGTCAGTCCGGGAACGCAGTCATAATAATGTATTATCATTATAGCTCTTAACATATAATATTAGTATTATTTTAACCAGTGCTCTTACCTTTGGCCTTGGAGCGTGACTCTCTAGCGCCACCACCAGGTGAGTGGTGGTCCACGCTGCCCTGGCTATCGCAGTGCTGGAAGGGCAGACTGTGGCTCTGACCCTGACTCTGACCCTGACCCTGGCCCTCCAAGATGGGGGAGAAGTCGGCCGAGGAGTGGGAGTGGGCCGAGTGGGTGGGTGAGAAGGGATCTGTACACCCCCCCATCTTGAGAGAAGGAGAGCCAGTGCTTCCTCCGTTTCTCCTCTTACTCCTGGCGATCTCTGCAAAGGAAGTGACCCGTGGCAGAGGGGGCGGGCCCAGGGGGGCTGTGCCCTCACTGAGACGGACAGGGCAGCTCAGCATGCGCTCCAATGAGCCGAGCCGAAGGGGCGGGGACATGTCCAGGTTCTGGTCGTAGCTACGGGAACGGGGGCGGGTGGGCCCACCTCCGATGGGTCCTCGGCCAACCACAGGAGGGGAGATGTTGACGTACACCTGGCCCTCAATGATTGGGTCTGAACAGGCTCCACCCATCTGCTGCTGCTGCTGCTGCTTCCTATTCTTCCTCTCCTCCTCCTCCTCATCTTCATCATTGTCTTCCTCATCTTCATCACGCTGGGTAGAGAAGACAGAGAAGGCTTAGAATAAAAGACAAAAGAAGCTCTCATTCTAAATGAAAGAATAATTCATACTTGTGTGACTAGTGTTGTAGTTTTTCAGCATCATTACATCTCCTACATGGGCAGTCATAGTCATTCTCTTCAGAGCAGTAGCATTGATGATACAGCTCATCAATAAGCTAGCTTTAATTTCCAGGCTGTCATTATAAATATACATTTGTTGCCTGGTTAAATAAAGGTTACATACATATCAACTTTATGACTGGAGCCACAGAGAGCTGAAATAGCCCCAGACTGTAATTCCAATAGTATAAATAGACCTCTATCTTCATTGTGTCAACATTACAACACATGAATATGACAAGCGTTACACCCCACTGAAGGCATACAGACTAAGGCAACATCCCAAGTGGCACCCTTTTCCCTGTATAGTACACTATTTTTAACCAGGGCCCATAGTGCACTGTATGTAATAGGGTCCCATTTGGGACGCACAAACTCTCCAGGAATACTCCATTACAGATTGCCCAGCTGCCTCAGTAGGCGCCGATAAAAAAAAAACGTCCCCTTCAACAGCAGTGGATGGTTGTAATGATCTGAAACCAGTAGCCCTCCAGTGGCCAATTCATTTTCCCACTTTGATATCGCCTGGAACGGGACTTGAACCTTCCAGTAACTGATCCACCTCTTTAACCTACCTATCAACACTCATTCAAATAATACTCTGTCTGATTCTGAACAGAACCAACATCCTGCTCCACTTACCCGTGATGACTCTCCCTCACCCTCTTCCTCCTCCTCCTCCTCTTCCTCCTCCTCTCCCTCCTCCTTTCCCCCCGGCGGCCGTCTGAACAGGTAGTATTCGGTTGGCTGGGTGGCGGTGGGCGTGTCAGGGGCGGGGCTATCCTTGCTGTGCTCGTCAGAGCAGCTGGTAACCGACGCGGAGCTTCCCGCGGGGCTCGGGGGTGACGGAGACGAAAGGTCACAGGTCACCAGCTTGTAGTAGTTCTGGGTGGTTACCACCAGACGCGCCTGGCTCTGCAGAAGAAGAAGAAGAAGAAGAAGAAGAAGAAGAAGAAGAAGAAGAAGAAGAAGAAGAAGAAGAAGAAGAAGACATTATTGTACAGAAAGACTAACTGAAATTTGACTCCCGCTTTATCCCAACCCCTCTGCAAGACACACGGCTTGGAGAGGTTGGAGCAAAGAGCAGCCATACTAGCCCGCTCATGAAGCGGTTTTTCTAGAGGTTAAATGTCTAGCTCAACAGCAGGTGATAGCAGCTAGGATTTGACACTGGATTTGACACCGTAAAGCATTTTGTGACAACCGCGGATGTAAAAAGGGCTTCATAAAATACATTTGATTGATTCATACCTGCAGACAGGACATGAGGTCACTTCCTGAGTCGGAGTGGTGGGGGGGCTGGTAGGAGTTGCAGTTGGCGTCCAGGTCTAGAGCCCCCTGGTGTTCAGCTGAGCAGGTGCAGGAGGAGGTGGTGGGGTGAGGGTGAGAGTGGGGTTCGAAGAGTAACGGCAGGGTGTTGTTGGAGGGGCAGGGGGTTTGTTGAGTGTGGTGTTGGGGGGGCTCAGTGGGGGAGGTGTGCAGGTCTAGGTAGAAAGCCCCCCCACCTCCGGAGCCTCTTCGGCTCCCTGTCTCCTCATCCAGCACCGCGCAGATGCAGACAGAGGAGGTACAAGATTGGTCGGTGGAGCTGTTGAGGTTGGTGGTCGTGGTGGCCAGAGGTGGCGGCTTGGAAGAGGTCGCTGGGATGCTGTTGTTCATTTTATTATAGATGGCGCTGAAGTTAACCAGCACGCCATCCGAGCTGTTACACGACGAGTCGCTGCCGTAGCCCAGCTGGCATTCCGACGACTCTGAAAACGGTTCCGGGAAGTGTTCAAGATACGTCTGGGAGAGGCCGCAGCAGGAGCAGCGTTGGTGGGCAGGGCCAGAGCCAGAAGAGGAGTCAGCTTGGCTACTGCCCCGTCCCCCACCCCTCATTGGGTGATCCTCTTCCTCCTCCTCCTCATCCTCGCCCCACTCTTGCTCTCCGCAGTCCATGGAGAGGGTGGAGCCGCTGCTGCCGTGGCGACGTGGACTGTCCAATCCCAGCAGGTCTAGGCCCTCCAGGTGGGTGGAGAGATCAGAGGCCACGCCCCTGAGGGAGTCACGCCTCCCTGAGCAGCCCCAAGAGTGCTTACCCAGGGTGCTGTGCAACAGGAAGGGCTTGTGTGTGGTGGACCCCAGGTCGTGGAGGTGGAAGGGTGCAACCCCGTCTCCCTCCTCGTCCAGGGCGGAGTTTGTATCGCCATGGAGATGAAAGGAGGAGTCTTCCAAGTAACCATTCAGGTTATCACCATCCTCTTCCTCCTCTTCCTCCTCATCATCATCATCCTCCTCCGTGTTGAGCAGAAAGGGGTTGTGACGGAGCCGGAGAGGGTTGTTGGCCTGTTCCCTTGGTTTCACCCTGGGCAGAGTGTGGGCCACCATAACCATCACCTGGTCCTCCCAGTTACTGGACGTCACCGACGAATCATCGCTGCCCGTGCTTCCTCCTCTCCCTCCTCCTCCTCCCTCTCCCTTTCCTCCTCCTCCTCCTCTCCCTCCTCCTGTAGAGGTCTGGATGAGGCTGCTGTAGACCAGCGCCTCCCTCTGGAGTACATCCTGCTCAGGGAGGGAGGTGGTGCGGCTCAGGCCCAGGTTCTCTGGGTAGCTGAAGGGTTTTGATCTCTTCAGGGAGCTCCCTCCTCCACCACAGCTCTGCCGCCCCCCAGTCACCTGGCAGTGTACCAGGGGGATGTGATGAACGATCAGGGTCTCGCCAGACAGCTTGGGGGGGCTGTCCATGGTCCCTGGGTGTCCACAGGTATGCGGGTTCAGACAGGGGGGGCAGGGGGAAAGGCTGTGTGGGTGCTGGGGTTGGGGTATAGGATATGTGGAGGGGTATCAGACAGGGAGTTGGTTCAGTGGTTAGATGCTAGACCCAAGGCTCCAGGGCCTGGGATGCTGAAGGAGAGGTCAGGGAAATTGACACTGTGGTCTGAGTGGTCCATCTGGAAGAGAGAGAGAGAGAGAGAGAGAGAGAGAGAGAGAGAGAGAGGAGAGAGAAGAGAGAGAGAGAGAGATAGAGAGAGAGAGAGATAGAGATAGATATATATAGAGATGCTCGGAGTGATATAGCATCATCTGACTCTCCCATCGCTAGATATCCATAAATAAATACCTCATCTCCCTCCCTCTCTTCTCCACTCCCGCCCTCCTCCCTCTCTCCGCTCTCTCTCCTCTCTCGTCTCTCTCTCTCTCTCTCCTCTCTCTCTTCTCCTCTCTTCTCTCGTCTCATCTCTCCTCTTCTCCCTCCTCTCTCCCTCCCTCCTCTCCCTCTCCCTCTCCTCCATCTCTCCCTCCTCACGCTCTCTCTCTCTCTCTCCTCTCCTCTCTCTCTCTCTCTCTTCTCTCTCTCTCTCCTCCTCTCTCTCTCCCTTCCCTCCCTCCTCCCTCTCTCTCTCCTCCCTCCCTCCTCCCTCTCTCTCCTCTCTCTCCCTCTCTTCCTCCCCCTCCCTCCTCCTCCTGCGCTCTCGCTCTCTCTCTTCTCCTCTCTCTCTCTCTCTCTCTCGCTCTATCTCTCTCCTCTCTCGCTCTCTCTCTCTCTCTCTCTGCCCTCTCTCCTCCCTCTCTTTCTCTTCTTTTCCTATCCTTCTCTCCCTCTTCTTCTCTCTCCCGCTCTCTCTCATCTCTCTCTCTCTCTCTCCTTTCTCTCTTCTCTCCTCTCTCTCTCTTCTTCTCCATTCTCTTTCTCGCTCCCTATCTCGCTTTTTTCGCTCCCCTCCTCACCTTCCCCTCTCTCTCTCTCCGTCTCTCTCTCTTTCTCTCTCTCTGCTCCTCTCTCTCTCTCTCATCTCTCTCTTCTTCTCTCTCTCTCTCGCTCTCCTCTCTCTCTTTCTCTCGCGCTCTTCTTCTTGTCTCTCCTCTCCCTTCTCTCTCTCTCTTTTTCTCTCCCCCTTCTCCTCTATGCTCACCTCTCCTATCTCTCCATACTCTCCTTTCTTTTTTTTTTTCCTCGTCTTGACTTTTTACTTTTTTGTACTTTTTTTTTGCTTCTTTTTTTCTTTTTTCTTCCTTCCTTTTTCTTTTCATTTTTCTTTTTTTCTCATTTTCTTCCCTTCCTTTTCCTCTTTTTTTCCCGCTCTCTCTTTTTTTTTCTGCTCCTCCTCTTCTCTTCTCTCTCCTTCTCTCTCTCTCTCCTATCCCTCTCATCTCTTTCCCTCCCTCTCTCTTTTCTCCTCCCCCCCCCCCCCTCTCTCCCCTCCTTTCCCCCCCTCCTTTCCCTAATCCAGATGATATAAATGAAAGGATCTTAAAACATAGAAAGCAAAACTTGGTGGTGTGCCCACCCCAAAAGACTGTATCCTTTTAAGATTAATATCACTTTATTGGTTATGGTCTCAACCCAAATTGACTTCCCGGTCCTTCTACTTTTCCTCCTTTTTTAACACCGCCCTTTCACAGAAGACCCTTACGAAGTACATACAAACGAATCCATTTCTTTCGAGAGGGCGGGGGGCGGGGGGGGGCTGCCACCCCCCCACACAACACCTGGGAGCCTGTAGTGCGTGGGGGTTAAGGAAAGTGTGTTCATCATCAAGTCACAAAATCTACAGGCAAATGGCATCTAGGATCTTGATACCAACAACCACAGCTCTGATTTTCGAGGCTCGTGAATTCTGACAGACCTCCCCTTGCCGATCCCAGACTCAATCAACACCCACCGGACACACTTGTCATTGGCGTTTGGGTCAGAATGGGGCCAATGGCAAAACTTTTATAGGTTCACGACTTGTAAGCCATACCTAACAATACACTTCACTGTACTACTTCCTCGATTAACAGTACTGTACTCTTCGCTGAGACCAGATGTGTACACTTGTACATCAAGATGCCTCCCCGCTACACGCTACACGCCTAACACAGACCAGGAGCTCGCTTCCCAACCCCATTTGTTTTCTTTTGTGTTCCCGTAGACCCACCCGGGACTCCAAACTGGCAACACTCCTCTGAAAAACTGAATACACTCTGATAGCAGTCTTGCTTCCCTAACACGCAACCGCCAGGTGACTACCGCCGCGTCTTAAATAAACAACCAGATAACCAGTATTGCATATATACCTTTCACGCGCAAGCAGTGGATGACTCACTTCCATGGTCTCACTGCCATGTGAAATTGAAACAGATCTTACTTAGACACTTAACAACCGACAACAATTTTATTTACACTAACCAAGTTACATGATTAGACTTACAACAATTACAATCCACTAGACCCTAGAACGTTACATTACAAATCTTAGGACTTATATAACACCCCTCTTTTTTCATCGTCCTCTTTTCATACGTTTTCATAGTCTCCCATCATCATATCAAATATTCATATCTACCTTCAGTCAACTCAAACTAACAGCTACTCACCACTACCTACTCCACCACGTGCACCTAAAATCTCACTACCTCAACTAAGCCCATTGGATTTTGGACCATACCCTACATTAGAACACAAGCTTCTCCTTCCAAGCTCCACCCTACATTTAGACATGAGCTTCCTTCCCTCCAAAACAAAAAAACACCTTAAAACCAAAACAACAACCAGGACAGTCTAGACAATCTTTCCCAAAAAACAGACCTTATTATTACACCGAAGATCCCTTCTCCGTCCGGAAAGCGAACATCTACATCTTTCCTCATTAAGCTCCCTGCTTCCCCTGGCAACCCGGGGCAAGACTAATCCAGTAAGCAAGTAATTCCAGTACTTCATTAATCCAGAGACTCACGAACTCAATCACCAAAACATCCTAAAACCAAAACACCACCCCTACTCTACTGCTCTCACCCAAAATCACACTCAACAGACTCAGCCCCAACAACAAAGCACACCTGCCTTCATATTACTTAGTCCCCCAACATAAGTCCCAACTATCCCAACTCAGAAATAAGCAAATGCCTGAAGGAAGAAAGATAGAGATAGGAGTAGAGACAGACAGACATGACGACAGAGCGAGAGAGAGAGATACAGACGAGAGCGTCGCTTGGATAAGTAGAGAAAGAAGAATCCAATTAATAAAGAGTCCTACCAGCTCTACGCGATGCTTATAGACCTCTCTCTTTCTCTTTTCCGCATTCTCTCTCCCATCCCCTCTCTCTCCTCTCTTCGTCTCCCTTGCTCCTACTCACCTCTCTTCGCCCGCATACTCCTCTCTTCAGCTTGACTAGAGTAGAGGAGAGAAAGAGAGATAGAGGAGAGAGAGAGAGAGAGAGAGAGAGCGAGAGAGACAGAGAGAGAAGAGAGTAAGCAGAGGGAGAGGGTGCAGAGAGTGGGGGAGACTTTGATTTTGATTCTGTAAATAGACGTTGACCTTCTAGACCAGAGACTGACAGTGCAGGTGGGGTTAGAGACAGTAGACACACACACACACACACACACACACACACACACACTAGACAGCAGACCGCTCTATCTGCTGAGAAAGCTACAGATTAGCATGGCAGGTCAAGTCCATTCAATCTCAGAGGGCAATTCCAGGGCTAACTGAAAATGCCTCTCCTGCCAGGTGCCTCAGAGGTCCGAGTTCTGATTCGACAACTCCCTGCTGATCCAGACAGCACCGGACACTGTCAATTGGCTTTGTCAGAAATGGCACCTTTATAGTGGACGACTTTTAACAATAGCTACATACTGTACTTCCTGACCAGGAGGTGAACTTGTACATCAAGATGCCTCACGCTACAGAAACAGGAGATAGGCTCCTCCCCTATGAGCAGGTTCCAGCTTGCACATGCCAAGGCTACATACAGGTAACCGCCAAGATAAAGGAAACCCCAACATAAAGTGTCTTAACAGGGCTTTGGGACACCACGAGCCGCCAGAACAGCTTCAATGCGTCTTGGCCTAGACTCTACAAGCGTCTGGAACTGTACTGGAGGGATTCTTCCACAAGAAATTCCATCATTTGGTGTTTTGTTGATGCTGGTGGAAATCGCTGCCTTAGCTCCAGAATCTCCCATAAGTGTTCAATTGGGTTGAAATCTGGTGACTGAGACTAACACACCCTTTAAACCCTCTATGCTCTTATGAGACCCCGCTTTCAAAGTCACTGAAGTCTCTTCTTCTAACCGTGGTAGACAAACTAACGGGCAACCGGCCATTTTCTATACATGACCCTAAGCATGATGGGATGTTAATTGCTTAATTAACTCAGGAACCACACCTGTGTGGAAGCACCTGCTTTCAATATACTTTGTATCCCTCATTTACTCAAGTGTTTCCTTTATTTTGGCAGTTACATGTACATACAAGTTCAACAACCCAGACTGAAGGGGTTAATACATGACTAATAATACTCCTTAAGGCAGAATAAAACTACTAGTTAGTGTATAATATAATATGTGATGCTATGTGCACTGCGCATGTGTGTGTGTGTGTGTGTGTGTGTGTGTGTGTGTGTGTGTGTGTGTGTGTGTGTGTGTGTGTGTGTGTGTGTGTGTGTGTGTGTGTGTGTTGTGTGCGTGTGTGCGTGTATGTGTGTGTGAGGCAGAAGGGAGGTACAGACACAAACCCTGATGAAATCCCCTACACCAATCCACTCTCTCCTCCTCCATCTCTCCTCCTCACCATCCATCCTTTAGCAGATATCACCCCTACACCAATCCACTCTCTCTCCTCCTCCACCGCTCCTCCTCACCATCCCTCCCTCTCTGTCCTTCTCTCCCCGACAACCAATCAGCCTTTTCTCTTCTCCTTTACCTTTCCATCAACAGTTAGCACTTCAACTGTTTTCTTCAACTAGCTTCTCCTGATT